CCCTAACCCTAACCCTAACCCTAACCCTAACCCTGACCCTAACCCTAATCCTAACACTATCCTAACACTAGTGCTGCCACGTTGCGGTCACCTCCACGATAGCAACACCCTTGTTCCGTCAGAGCAAATCAAAGCAGCCAATCAGAGGAACCCTTCGCGCATTTGTGGTACGGAAAAAATAGACGCGCCCGGGGGATAGCAACACCCTTGTTCCGTCAGAGCAAATCAAAGCAGCCAATCAGAGGAACCCTTCGCGCATTTGTGGTACGGAAAAAATAGACGCGAGCGGCGTGCTGAGAGAAACTGGTGGATGGGAGCTGTTATTTGCAGATGATCTTGCAATAGTGGCGGAAACTGAAGAGGAGCTACAGGAGAGAGTGCTGCAGTGACAGGAAAGGTTACAGGGAGGAGGGCTGAGAGTAAATGCACGTAAGTCAGAGGTGATGATAAGTAGTAAGATGGGAGGTGAACGGATACAGCACCGAAGTAGAGATGAGGCAGGTGAACAAATTTAAGTACTTGGAAGCGACGACGGAGGCAGGAGGATTCGAAGTTGAAATTGCGGATAGAATAAGGACAGCATGGAGAAAATGGCCAGAGAGGTTTCAGGAATGGTATGCGACCCAATGATGACCAGAAAACTTAAAGTAAAAATCTATGGGCAGGGGCGTAGCTACCATAACGCAGATACGCAGTTACATCATGTCACCAAACTTTTTATTGCAGAGAGAGATGGAAGGAGAGGGAGAGAGAGGGGGCGAGAGAGAGAGAGAGAGAAAGAGAGAGAGAGGGAGAGAAAGTTAGGGCGAGGGAGAGAGAGAGAGAGAGAGAGAGAGAGAGAGAGAGAGAGAGTCAGTCAATCAGACTAAATTATTTATAAACAAATAACACCCACGCGGCGCACAGTTTTGCTGTCGCCCTCATCCCAGCGGTGGTCACCCCTACACATTGAATAATGACAATGCCGTGATGTGATGTGATGTGCAATCAATGAGTGATGTGTGTGTTTGAGCACACACACGCGCCCACACGCACCAGCACACGCATACGCTTGCTCGCACGCACGCACACACGCACGCACGCAGACAGAGAGGGAGAGAGAGAAAGAGAGTTTAAGAATGTGCGTTAGTTCAACATGTCTTGATAATAAAACGAAAATTACATGATTAGTTATAGTGATCTTTAGTGATCACATCTTGTTGCTCATGAAGAGAATAGTTTGACTAAAAAGATAATTGTCGTAGTCAGAATGAAGGCTGTACATTTACTCAAAAGTGCCTCAAATACCATCTTCTGCGATCTACATTTTCCAAATTTCCTTCTTTTTTTGGGGGGGGGAACTCCCCAGACACATCCACACCTGCACGCCTGCATATGTGCGTACACATCCATTTCACCCTAGCTACGCCCCTGTATGGGGCAGTCGTGAGACCCATATGCTAACGTATGGAACGGAAACCTGGGCCATACAAATAAATAAGGAAAAGAGGTTGCAGAGAACGGAGATGAGGATGTTGCGTTCGATATTGGGAGTTTCACTGAGAGAAAGAAGATCAAATAAGGAGGTGCGGCGAATAGCTGGAGTAAGAGAAAGAAGAAAGAGAGGAAGTCATAACGCAAAGTAAGATGAGATGGTATGGTCATGTGGTGAGGAAGGAAGATGATGAGCAATGGAGGACAGCATGACAGGTGCCGGTGAGAGGAAGAAGGAAAAGAGAACAACAGAGAATTAGATGGAGGGATGGAGTGGAGGCGGAGATGAGAAGGCTTGGAGTAATGGACGACGATGCAGCCGATCGAGGAAGGTGGAGAAGCATTGTCAACAGGGAGGTCAGCCCCTTGCTGACGTTTCAGCGGGGATCATCAGCGAGAAACAAGGAGAAGAAGAAGAATACATTAGTAAGAACGACGAAATGTGATAGCTGCTTTATAGGTAAATAAACTTACTGATTAATCCCATAGACGTATGTCACACTGATAATTTCAAAGAAAGCAACTAAGATGAGTCCAAATGTTGCGCCGTATGAATCAAACACTTTGACCCAGTACTCGCCAGCCCTGGTTACAAAGACCATACCCACGAGCAGCGAAATGATGCATATGATTGCTGCAAGAAACACAACATTTGTAACTGAACTGTGTGCCTTATGAAAATATTAAGTAATAACTACTGTTTAATTATAAATTTATAATAGATTTATCTAGCTAGTCAAGGTACCCCATATTCTCTCACAGGGTGGCATCAGCCAATATAGGATGGCTATTTCTGTAGCTGGTTCATTTATGCATGTGCGTCTCGCCATGGAATCTTTATCTTAAATTCAGGTTAAATTTCAAATTAGGTGTTTCCTAATTCAGTATTATTTACATGTTATCTTATCTTATATAATTTTCTTTATTCGCAAGTACATCGGAGTTGATAGAGTTACAACGGAAACGTAATGGTAAAAAGGCAACTATTTTATAACTTAGTAAATTATGCGATGTAATCCGAAATTGCTCCAAATTTCATGAACTGGGCACAACGAAACTTTAAGATGCTTAATTACCGGCTAGCATCCATTTCTTCATCCATATGAATAAGTTCATATCGTGGATAGCTGTCAGAGCGCCCTCTAGTGTTCCAATCATCGAGCCAACACCAAGTGACAAAAGCATCATGAAGAAGAGGACGCTCCACAAGGGGGCAGCAGGGAGCTCGATTATTGCTTGTGCAAATATGATGAATGCGAGACCAGTACCCTGAGCTGACTAAAACATACATGAAAGCAAAGTAATTGAAATAGTTTCATTTTTTATGCATAATACATATTAAATTGCAATTATACATGCCTTTATCAACATAAGTATGAATCATTCATTCATTCCTACACATAATGAGAGAAACTGTACGTCGATATCACACGTATTGGTACTGGTCTATAATACTACGGGTCGTTGGTCCTACGAGTCGTTGCATGGTCCCAGGGATGTTGGTCCTACGGTTATAATAGTAACAGTAAGAGCTAGTAAGAGGGGCAGACAGAGCAGAGTGATGGATGCAATGAGTTATAGGGGAGAGAATAAACCAAAGTCCTAAAAGTCCAGTCTTTTATCTGCTGGAATACCGCATACTGCTAGCTGTCCCACACAAACTCATTCTCCTTCTTAGCAAGGTCCCTAAGTGGTGCTGCAATCTCAGTTAGTCGGGGTGCGAACTTTGACAGGTAGCCAATCATGCCTAGTACGGTCAGTAGTTCGATCAGCACGGTCGGCAGGCGGATCATCTGCATGACGCTGCTGGCCGTAGACCCGTAACACCAACGCCCATAGGACCAATGACTTGTAGGACCAATGACCCGTAGGACCAACGACCCGTCGGTTTACAGAACCTCAACCACACGTATCTGTTCATGTTCCTGCAACCGCATTATAGTTATATTGTTCTTGCAATGCTTACTTTAAGCTTACAATTTTTACTTATTAATATACTCGCCTGGCTCAGCTCATCATGCAGGGTACAGTTGCGGATGCCCAGGTGATGGATACTCTCATTGTACAAGTGTAGAAAATGAGACAGCTCCTGCTCATTGGTTACCATCGTCGTGTTGAACTCGGGAATTGCAGTTGCTATTTTAGTTGCCGCACTTAAAAAAAACAGCAAATGATGTCAGTCTATACCCATTGCACCTTTCTAATGTACTTGCTCAAGAACGCACTAGATATATACAACATTAATGAACGTCTATCTACCACTATCAGTGAAAACTTTTAGTTCGTGCAGCTAATTTAAAATAATTACGTAACTGGTAACATGGCCTGAACATTTATATTAGGCAGCTAGGCAGATAAATCTTAAACGCATTAAACATTTAAATCATTCATTAGCGGTAATCCTAACTCGAACATTCTTACAAGCCATATGATAGAACCACCGAACACCTAGCTGATCAGATAACAACTACAAAACAACTTGATTGCCTAACTAGCATAAACCCATTAACCCCACTTTATCGGGCATCGGTTAAGCAGGACGTATGTCGTTGAAAAAACTAACATTACACACGTTGTTATGCATTCAATGCTTAATCGGGACCAACACTTTATTGTGACATTTTGAGGGTTCTTGACCTGTTCGGCGGGGTACACAAAAGAACATGGTGGATATGGGTTGGAGGCAGAAATGAGGAAGAAGAGAGAATATTGGAAATGGCGCAAAGCATGGGTGTTGTTCTGTACAAATACCGAATTTATGAAGAGAGACGAACATTTGATATTATATAGAAGTGGAGGAAGAGCAAGCCAAGTCGATTACATACTGGTGAGGAAAGGAGACAGGACACTGGTTAATGACTGCAAAGTTATACCTGGAGAGGCATGTGTGAAGCAGCACAGGGTGGTTGTTGCGGACATAAAGTAAAGACATGAGGAGAAAAAGAGAGGTACGAGAAGACCAAAGATCAGACTATGTGAGCTGAAAGAGGATCGAGTGGGCGAGTTAAGCGAGAGTGTCAGCAGGAGGAGACAACAGGCACAGATTGAGTATTGCGTAGAGGAGCAGTGGGAAAGGGCAGATGAAGAGCACACTGGTGGCAGCGTCAGAGGAAGTGGTCGGCCATACTGGGAAAAGGAGGGAAGATGAAAAGGAGACTTGGTGGTGGAGAGATAAAATTCAAGAGCTACTCGAGAGGAAAAAGAGAGCGTTTAAGAACTGGAAAAAAATAGACGTCAAGAAAACAGACTGGTGTATAGGGAGCTGTGCAGAGAGGGTAGAAGGGAGGTGGCAAAAGCGAAATGGGATGAGACGAGAATATGGTATGAAGAATTGGAAACAAGTGAAGCGGGAAAGAAGATATATCGGACTGCCAGAGACAGAGGTAAGATAAGAAAGGATCACGCAAGTATGAGTGAAAAAAGATAGAGAAGAAAATATAGTGACAGGTGAAGAAGAAACTAGAGAGAGAGATGAAAGGGATAGTTTAGTGAATTGCTGAATGTGGAAAATGCAAGGGAGGATATCGAATATGTTATGGCAGTGCATGGCCCAGTAATAGGATTACAGAGAGCGGATGTAGTAAGGGCTGTAAAGAAGATGAAAAATGGAGAATCGACGGGACCATCAGAGGTTGCGGCAGAAATGGTGAAATGTGTGGGAGATGATGGAGTGGACTGAATTCTGCAATTGGTGAGAAAGATCATGGAGACGAACAAAATACCGGAAGATTGGAGGAGTAGTGTGCCTATTTACAAGCAGAAGGGAAACTTGGAGTGTAGTAATTATAGAGGAATCAAGCTTATGGAGCAGGTAATGAAGATACTGGAAAAGATAATTAATGGCAGGCTCAGGGAAGAAGTGCATATAGATGAAATACAGTATGGTTTCATGAAAGGGAAGAGTACAGTGGATGCCATTTTTATAATGAGGCAAGCGCAAGAGAAGAGCTTGGAGGGGAATAACAGGATTTTCTACGCATTCCTAGATATAGAGAAAGCGTACGACAGAGTGCCAATGGAAGTGGTATATTGGTGTTTAAGAAAAAAGGGAGTGATGGAGTGGATAGTGAGAATTATAGAAGAAATGTTCAAAGGATCAAAAACTACAGTGAGACCAGCGTTTGGAGACACAACAGCAGCTAATTTAGGAACTCGTGAGATTCCCCTCTTTGATAAGGCTGATAAAGAAGCACTTTTAAATCACTTTACTGAGTTTAATGCCTCATACTTTTCCAGTGATCCGACAAAGAGATCCCTTGAATCTAATTGGTTGCTAATTAAACAGGCTATCATCTCGGGAGTCAATTTTGTAAACACAAAACTCAATTCTGTCGAACCGGCGTTTCCACAAAACTCGATTTTGTTGCCCAAATATGGCACACGCATGTAAGAAGGGCTACATTGGTTTCTTCGGACCAATGGTAGCCTTTCTTACATGCGTGTGCCATATTTGGGCAACAAAATCGAATTGAGCCCTGTCCTGCATGCGGGCCCGTACGCCATGCAGGACAGGGCGATTTGTTGCCCAAATATGGCACACGCATGTAAGAAGGGCTACCATTGGTCAGAAGAAACCAATGGTAGCCCTTCTTACATGCGCTGTGCCATATTGTGGCAACAAAATCGAGTTTTGTGGAACCGGTTGACAGAATAGTTGAGTTTTGTGTTTACAAAATTGAGTTTTGTGGAACCGGTTCGACAGAATTGAGTTTTGTGTTTACAAAATTGAGTTTTGTGGAACGCGGTTCCACAGAATTGAGTTTTGTGTTTACAAAATTGAGTTTTGTGGAACCGGTTTGATAGAATTGAGTTTTGTGGGACAGGCGATTGACAGAATTGAGTTTTGTGTTCACAAAACTCATTTTTGTCAAGTTTATAGGTACAAAAATGCCTGTCCTGCATGGCGCCCCGTAGTTTCCTGCTTTAGCGGCCGCCGGGACAGGTCAAGAACCCTCAAAATGTTCACAATAAAGTGTTGGTCCCGATTAAGCATTGAATGCATAACAACGTGTGTAATGTTAGTTTTTCAACGACATACGTCCCTGCTTAACCGCAGGCCGATAAAGTGGGGTTAATGGGTTTATGCTAGTTAGGCAATCAAGTTGTTTTGTAGTTGTTATCTGATCAGCTAGGTGTGTTCGGTGGTTCTATCATATGCTTGTAAGAATGTTCGAGGTTAGGATTACCGTACATGAATGATTTAAATGTTTAATGCGTTTAAGATTATCTGCCTAGCTGCCTAATATAAATGTTCAGGCCATGTACCAGTTACGTAATTATTTAAATTAGCTGCACGAACTAAAAGTTTCACTGATAGTGGTAGATAGACGTTCATTAATTTGTATATATCTAGTGCGTCTTGAGCAAGTACATTAGAAAGGTGCAATGGGTATAGACTGACATCATTTGCTGTTTTTTTAAGTGCGGGAACTAAAATAGCAACTGCAATTCCCGAGTTCAACACGACGATGGTAACCAATGAGCGAGAGCTGTCTCATTTTCTACACTTGTACAATGAGAGTATCCATCACCTGGGCATCCGCAACTGTAATGCATGATGAGCTGAGCAGGCGAGTATATTAATAAGTAAAAATTGTAACTTAAAGTAAGCATTGCAAGAACAATATAACTATAATGCGGTTGCAGGAACATGAACAGATACGTGTGGTTGAGGTTCTGTAAACCGACGGGTCGTTGGTCCTACGGGTCATTGGTCCTACAAGTCATTGGCCTATGGGCGGTTGGTGTTAGGCGTCTACGGCCAGCAGCGTCATCGCAGATGATCGCCTGCCGACCTGTGCTGATCGAACTACTGACGTACTAGGCATATTGGCTACCTGTCAAGTTCGCACCCCGACTAACTGAGATTGCAGCACCACTTAGGGACCTTGCTAAGAAGGAGAATGAGTTTGTGTGGGACAGCTAGCAGTATGCGGTATTCCAGCAGATAAAAGAAACTGGACTTTTAGGACTTTGGTTTATTTCTCGCCCTATAACTCATTGCATCCATCACTCTGCTCTGTCTGCCCTCTTTACTAGTCTTACTGTTACTATTATAACCGTAGGACCAACATCCCTGGACCATGCAACGACTCGTAGGACCAACGACCCGTAGTATTATAGACGCAGTACCAATACGTGTGATATCGACGTACAGTTTCTCTCATTATGTGTAGGAATGAATGAATTGATTCATACTTATGTTGATAAAGGCATGTATAATTGCAATTTAATATGTATTATGCATAAAAAATGAAACTATTTCAATTACTTT